AAAGTATATTATTACATGCTGAATGACTGACGCGAAAGTGCACGATGTTACTCAAGTATCTAAAATATTTATAATATTTTAATGATGCGTTTAAAAAATTCTTGTGAGAAATGTCACAATTATTGTCAAAAACAAAATTTTCAATTAGAATTATTTTCAAATAAAATTCTTAATTAGAATTATTTATCATTGATTATTCCACTGACTATGTTATTTTACAGAATTATATCTCAATTTGTAAATATATCAATTGCAAACATACTTCAATGCATAAAAAGAATAAGAAGGTTATGAAAATAATATATACTTTGCTAAAATATCATAAAACAAATTTCTCAGAAAATTGAACAATATCTTTTTTTAATTTATGAAAATATTAGATTTCTAAAATACAATTAATTAGCTGAAATAATTATATTCAAAAATTCGAGAAAATTATATTTAGTTTGCACTAGTAAAGTATTAAAAAAAAGATTCAACGCTTAATTTAATATATATAGAGGTGATTTTTCAGCGCGAAATTGTCGACCAAAAAGGAGGAGAAAAGAGTGAATCACGCGATAACGAGACACATGTGCGGCTCGAACGTCTTTTAATCATCAATTAAAATATTTGGCAAGAGTACCCATTTGACGAGAACATATATTCGACAGTGTCCATCGTCGTTATGAAAATCGATCCTTGCATAGGCCCTGGCAGCATTCGATATTACATCAACACGCAATTCGTTTTGTAATTTTAAAAGTTTACTGTAGAGAAATCTTATTGCGTTAAATAATCAAATATAAATAAATTATAAAATAATTTCTTTAGAAATTCAAGATCGAATATAATTTTCACTTTTAGATGTAGAAAACTAAATTTATAAAATTTTTCATAGAACAAAAAAATGATTTATTTAACTCTCCAATATTATTATATTATTTTAATTTCTAATATAAAAATTGTATGTGTGAAGCGGTAGATACCTTATATTAGAAAACTTCGCTGAAAGTATTTGAATCACGGTCGCCAGGATGATGTACCTTATAAGCCACGATTCAGAGATCTTACGAAAAGATCCCGGAGACATTAATCTTAAAAACGCAATCTATTACGGTACGACCGACGAGAATCAGGGACGCGATACGAGACCGGGGCATTTTTTAAAGTAACGAAATGTTACGGTACAACTTTCTCATTATCACGTTCGTCATATGGGGAAATGGCGATTATATTATAAAATTACAATCAGCACGATGGGGAGAGGGATGGGAAGAACAGCCAGCGGCGATACATCCGTATCGGGATGGTGCTCGATCTGTCAAGTGAATAAAAAATGAGAGATATCGAGAAGTGCATCGTCCGCGATGTTGGTCAGCGAAGCGACATATTGCTCGAGAAGTCGCAATTGCAGGTTTTGCCAACTATAAATACTTCATGTTGATGATGAGTAATGAGACATATTGCATATTCGAGGAAGGTACAAGTACGTGGAAATATAAAAGTTGATAGTTTATCATCTAAATAAAGCATTAATTTATAATATTCATAATATATTGTTCGTGTGGGTGGTTGTAAGTTTTATATTCATATTACAATTTCCATAATAACACAAGTTTTCTTTAGAATAAATGTACGTAATAAATACCACATATAGAATTTCTCTTTCTTTTTTCTTTTTCTATAAAGCGACATGGTATGACGACTCGAAAGACTAATGTACGCGTTAACAAGCGATTAGATAAAGTGGCAAATGTTACTCAGAAATATAAAAAATTAATGATGCGATGAGCGTGAACTTGATGATAAAAAACTTTTATTGCATTAACGACATGCATAATCGTATGAGATGTCGCAGTGTCTCTTTGAAAATTTTCTTCGGGGTGTAACCTCTTGAAGAGAGATGTACTCGTAAATCGCAAGATAGCAAACGTTACCCAGTTAGCCGCTTTCACGACTGATATTTATTCGCACATCCTTTGTGGCTGCCTCCGCACCGCGGTCGTGTTATGTAATACAGCTAATTAAAAGCCCAAACGCGCAAACTTTCCCCTATATTCGCCAGACGGTCGTCTCGTGATCGACCAGATAGCGACCCGTTCAATCCGTTCCTTTTCAATTAATATCTCTTATGCTTCAAACGCTTATTGCACAAAAGATCTTGGGTTCGTGGCTAAAAATATAGTGATTCCTATACAAAATAAAAAATTAACTAATCTTTTTATTAATAAAACAAGACGAAACACAATTTTTTTTCAAAATATTCTTTTAAAATATTTATACTATTCTCTCATATCTAATACTTTATTAAATTTTCTATAATATGCAATATTGTTAATATTGTTAGAGAAATTTTTAAATTTAATTTTTAAAATTAATTAAAAAGTATATTAAATTCTCTTTTCTCTCATATTTCTCTTAATAAAATCTTAAAATTGCAATCAACAACTTTGATTTTAATGTGTATCTATTATTGATTATAATGTGTAACTATTTTCGTAGCATAATTATGTGTGTGTTGAATAATCTCTACATAATATTTTGTGAATATTACATTACCGTGAAAATATCGCGTTATAAATTACTGTACTTACTGAACCGACATTTCATTATCATCCGCGGTACGTTAAAATATTCAATGAACAAGAGACGCCGTTTTAGCATTTATCATGTCAAACGTCCTCGACTTTCAAGAGAAACACACACACGCCTTCCTAGTTTCCTTCCCTTCCTTCGATTAACGAATTATTTTAAATTAATTGTGGTTTTTCATGCATTTTAAAGCGGCGTGTAAATGCAAATGCGCACTCGAGAAAATCATTCGGAAATATCGATGACGTGACTTTGTGAATCACGCAGGTACACGACGCGGTGCTACACGGTGAGCAGCTGGCATTTCTAGAGACATGGGAAAATTTATTGTCGCGCTACGTGCTTCTTACATTTCCCGTAAAAGAAGAAAACTAACGCCTATCGAGGCATTATTCACTGTTCCCCCGACGGATTCTGTCTAATGTTACATCGGTATACTTCGCCGGTAATGTCCACGATCAATAATCGTACGGAGAAAATGGACGGTCTTCACCCCACTTTTCCAAAGTAGTTCTTCTCTTCGAAGAAGAGAAAAAGGGATTGTCCGACGTAAGCTGCTACTTTAATTAACGTAATTAATTTCAACAATATTTCCATGACTTTATTGGAATTGAGGAGCTTGATTGTTGCACAGAGCCTCATGTTACATCATATCCCTAGATTAACTTTTCAAAATGCTTAATCTCGCTGTATCTTTTGATAGCCGTATTTTTTTTATAAAGACAAATATAAACAAGGGATTATGCGGAGAAATTAACATAGTTGATCAAGGATACTGACAATCTCAAACATCCCAATGGAATAGCATTGATTATTAATTACATGCGCATGTTAGGTACATGCATAATCCCCGTGCAGCTTCCGGCACATGCATCGCTTTAAATCAGCCGTATCGGGCCGTATATATCATGTTATGCAATAAGAAAGGAGTTGATATCGCGCATTACGTACGATGTTTTGCATCAAAAATTTAAAAAAACCTATTTTGCCCAGCGGGGATGCAATTCACGCACATATGTATAAAGAAAACATAATTTCTATGATCACGCGTAGAAATGTCTCTTGAGAGGTTTGACTGTTTTTTACAACTTGTTATGCTAAGAACTCAAATTTTTGCTTTGTTTTTCTCCAAATTTCTTAATTGCGATTGTAATACATGTATGCTAAATGCGAGCTCATTATTCCCTTACGGCGGAAAGTTCAGTCATGACAAAGTAAACGCGGTATAGTGCGCGCTCCATATAATTATCACCCGATAATGAGAGATTGTCAGGTCGCTTCCGATTGATTAGAATAGACGATGCAATTGTGTGTGTGTCATGCGTTTGTCGGCTGATGCACGAACGTCCAGTTTCATTTTGCCGCACCAAATCCCATGAGCATGCAAGTAATTTAGCCTCTACTGCGATTAGAAAAATCGAGGTAAATAGCTATTTGACGAGCGTTCGACTGATTGTTTAATGACGACGTGATTTATCGATTAGAATCGTGAAACGCGTGTTAATAATGACGAATAATGTTACGCAATATTTATGCAAATAATAGAACAGACAGAATTGCTGGTTAACGACTGGGAAATAATAGAAAAACAATTCAATTTTATTGCATTCGTATATTGCTAAGAAAATATCGAAACAATTGAGCAGTATATCTAATAATGAGATACGAAATTAAATTATTTTCATACGTATGTGTGTTTGTTGAATGAAAGCTATAATTCTCTTTTTTTTGCAAAAATGCATAACGTGACAACCGACAACCATAGATTTCCAAACATATTCAATTTTTCGCTCTCAATCTAAGGTTAATTATATTTAATAAATATTTTCAAATAACTAAAAAATGTATAATAAAATGTAAAGAAATTATTAAAAGTTATTTTTATTCTAAGAAGATTTTTTACAAGTAAAATCTCAAAACTCTGTTAAAGATAAAATCATATCTAAAAGTTATCAAAAAATTATTTAGCTATATCTTCCTTAAATTTGATGTAAGAAAAAAATAGTAGAAAGAATAAAAGAGACAAGAAAATAATATAATTGTTATGCATCTTTTAAAATAATTGAATCCTTTTAAAACAATCATATTTCCAGATCAACGAAACAATAAAAAAACATATTCAAACGTGCTAATGAATCTGTAACAGAGAAAAAAATACGCAAAGCGTTTTCGGCTATGAATCGACGAGAAAAAAATCGACGATTTGCCGTGCACATGCTCGTTAAAGAAACGATGATAATTGAGCAAGCATCCTTCAACGGGAACCCAATGACATTTAGCGCAGTGTGACATGGTGATCTCGGGGAAGATGGTCTCTCCACGATGTCGATGTAGAGTGTGTTGTCTCTCCGCGTCCCCCTACGGTGACACATACACACGTACCCATACACACGCAGCTCTGTCGTTAAATCATGAATCCGTGTAAATCGCACGCGGCCCCTCTGTGTGTCCCATGTGCATCCTACTCGTGACATGGTGGCCATCGGTGCGTCAAACTAACGGTGGTGTTGGTAATGCCTTCAGGGGTATATATACGACGAGCGCTGCGGGGCTTGATAAACACTTGCCCATCAGCGATTACTGTTGCAGGATGTACACGTCACTGGTAAGCGTTAATTAAGAGGAAAAAGATTCGAAGTAAGGAGCAAGGAAGAGTCAACTCGTGCACTCCGATAGACCCGCGTGATAACACTCGTAGTCAGGTCGTGTGAATTTGGCGGTGCATTTCATGGCGATTCCCTGTGCGCGTTCTCCCGGTTGTTCTGTGAATTACGTTGTTGTAAGTGACACTTCGCGATTATTCGGCATAGCGTACCGAAAGCTCCGGGGGACTCGGATGTCGTTGGGTAGAACGAAGGGGCGAGACCGAAGGATAAGTAGCGTCTCCCGGAGGATCGGCGGTAAGGATATCGATCGATGCCGTCGGGAATACATCCCGAAATTTGTCATCTTCATGTAACGCGCATACGTTTTTAGATAGAAAATATTTGAACTTTTGTGACGAACAATACTTTCGGTGCAATACATTTTACCGAAAGTTAAAATAATTTTTTATTTTTTACAAAAACTTTAAGCTACGATAAGTTTTGTTGATAAGCTTTCAAATTGGAAAAATTGAAAAATATTAATAACGTTTGAGTAAATTCTAGCATAAGGACTAATTATTTCGATTTTTTACAGCGATATAATTGTAGAATTTCATGATAATAATAATAATTAACATTTTTGCAATAATATCCCGTGAGTTTGAACAATGTATTGTTTTGCGCTTCAATTCAAAACATCATTTTATTGTAATATCAGAATTGTCATCACCATACACAAATTAGACAATAAAGGTAATAATAATCAAAATATTGTATAAAATATTGTTATAGCGTAATATGACATTATAATCATTAATAATATTGTTCGTTTCATTCGAGGTGCGCCGTCTGACCTAATAACGCTGATACTACCGCGATTTCTGTCGTGTCTGACTCAAAACGGTATCACTACTGCGGCGCACGGCGCCCGTTTCTACTGATTCTCGCGAAACTTTTTCTCCATCACAATATCGTTCGATTTAATAATCAAACAATCAAGACAATTTTTAAAATTAAATCAGCAATAATTTCGATCACGACGAATAAACGCATCGTAATATTACGAAAATTCAAAAATTCTATACATATTTTCAAAATTGCTGCCACATACAGGATGTGCGCATTGTTTCTAATTTTCCTGAAACCGCCGTAGCTAAGTCATCGTTTTTACTAATCGTTCTACAGATCGTTTGTGAGAGACGGTTGAATATCTAAGTGGCGGTAACCATTAGCGCATTCTGCATAAACACTTGTGCAACGATGCGAACGTCAAAGAGGGAAACTGACGAAAAGGCTAATGTTCATCCGATGTTTATGCATCTGGAAACTTGCGAAGCGATGGTTGACTAAGATCGTTTACTTCTCTTTGTATTGCGATGTAACGTGTATTATATTAGCGGCTTGGATATATTTTATCGTTGTACAACGATATTAAATTATATTTACGCCGCGGGTACATTCTTGTCCGCGTAATCATCTCTTTAATTGAGATTCCATCTGATATCGATGAACGATAGGTCAATCCATAACAGAATTAATTAATTATCATCATTAATTATTCATCAAGGATAGATATTACTTTTACCCTCGACTCTGTGCTTACATTAAATCTTTCATAGATTCCATAACTTTTTATTTCAATGATCGATATCATATAATTTTGTAATGCCACATTTATATATAATTTCAAATAATTAATTAATTGGAAATTTCTATTTCTCATTAGCATATATATATTTAGTGAAAGTTACATTTATAAATGCAGGAAGCCAACACATTGATTAAATATTAAAATAAATGTAAAATCAATTAGGATAATCGTGACAATAAATTTATCTGCAAATATATTTCAATGATAAATTAGCAATAAATATGTTTAATGATCATTGTTAAACGAATAGCGATGTCATCATTTTTCATAATTTTCTAGACATAATTAATTTTATATATCATATGTTACATTATCATTAATATCGATTACATCGATTAAGCTTAAATTTTTTAGTTGAAAATTAAATGCGTTTTTGTGGAAAAACGCTTTATCACGATTAGTCTGATCATCCTTAAACTCAATATTCTTTTTTATCTCAATATTCTTGCAATATCCACCAGGTAATCTTGCTCGCATTGGCAGCGTGCGTCGCAGCAGCGCCTGCTGACGATGTGATACCGATCGTCAGTCAGAGTCAGGAGGGTCCTAATCCGGATGGATCCTACAAGTGGAATTACGAGACCGGCAACGGTATCAAGGCCCAAGAGGAAGGCCACCTGGAGAACGTTGGCAGCGAGGACGAGGCGATAGTAGCAGAAGGTGGTTTCAGTTACGCTAGCGACGATGGTCAATCGATCTCCCTAACGTACAAGGCCGACAAGGATGGCTTCCAGCCGGTGGGTGCTCATCTACCTACCACACCGGAAATTCCGCCGCTGATACAGAAGGCTCTCGAATGGATCGCGGCTCATCCGTCCAAGGATGACGAGAACCAGGTGTAAGTCCGCGACCGGCGCTACTGTCCAGTACGTTTGTGATCTCACGACCTTTCACGTAATTATCATGCCAACGCGAAGACGAACCACGATATACTCGATGATACCGGATGATGAGTGTTGCTGTGCCACCCTCGCCTTGTCCTCGCCCTCGAAGTTAACACAGAATACTCTGGTTCAAATTGTTGTAAATATTTATTGTACGTCTATGGATATATGTTATATGCAAACACATTTTTTTATTATTGTATTAATATACGATATGTATACTTATATGAAGATACGAGTATGCATCTATATGATTATGTAATTAACTCGTTGTTAGATATATGCCGGTACATTAAGAATAAATGTTGCATCCCAGGAGAGAAGCGTCTCTTCCTATTAATACGCCTGATCCTTTCGACGAAACATATGCGTATGAGATTCTCTCTCGAGCCCTTCAGGAAGGAAGGATGCGGGAAATTGTGCGGTTAGCATGATAGCGTCACTCTACTATCTTTTCGATGATTGAAAATTAAAAATTTTAATTTTTTTCCCTTTGAGATATAATAAAATTATGCGAATTTATTCGCACGTGCGCGAATAAATTAATCAATCATTGTCAGAAAATGTTTTTCAATTTATTCGTGTCGATTGTTTGCGAAATTTACACATCTCAGAAATACATAGCAGCTGAAGAGAGACCGTATTCGAGCAAGAACATAATATGTATAGATATAATAGATATTAGGACCATCTCAAGCGAGCTGATTTACGATAGAAAGTCGCATGGCTATTACTGTAAGATATTACATCGCTGTAAACACAGCTGCTGCGCGCGTCTTTATTACATACTCTCACACACACATCACATATAACGGACTTTGTTCGCTATCATTAATCAATCACGTAGAGTGGACAAAGACGCGCCTTATGTAAGCGTCGTATGAAGACCGCGAGTACTTTGATTACGTTCGTTTGGTACAATGAATATTTAGACAGCTTGTTTAACCGCTTTCGAGGTAATCATGATTCATATTTACATCTACTGCATTTATTATATATAAAAATCTATTAATTAATCTATTAATTTTTTTATATAAGTAATTTTGTTATAATTTAATTTAAATAAAGCGATCATATGTCGAAATAACATTATCCTCGTTTCAAGCAAAATTTTGACAGTAATTTAAAGATTATATCTTCCAGTATGTTTTAATAATACTGGGATTGGAGGTCAATAGGCTATAGAAGGTACAAGTTAATAAAAATGTTTCTTTCAAAATTGAAGAGCTGTCATTTCACGTTGATGCATGACAAATATAAACTAGCTTCGGCACGTTCTTTCCATGAATCTTTTCATCCCAAGCGATTTACGCCATTATCAATGATCAAACATTCGTCTACATATCAAGATCTGTTATCTTTCAAGAAGAATGGTACCGAGCGATCAAATCTTCAAAGCTGTCACTTCGTGCCGTGCCAAGTTGTGATGGACACAACATCAACACATTCCTTCCGTTGACTGCTTTCATCTTCTCTAAGATCAAATCAACGAATATCTCTACATGAAGAGATATATTATGTCTCAGACGAAATAATACTTGCTTGATATAATATTAGCATATGTAATCGTCATGGTGAGACACTGTAGATAATCTTGCGATGTCTTTTTCGCAGATTATCTATCCGAGAACTTTCTAAGAGGTCGTCATTGACAAGAGGCTCCAAGAGGAAGGAGGTGGAGGAACCGGAACCGATTATACTTCGCTCTCATTGAACTTTCACCGCGGGCGGTATGACACTCGTCATGTATAACCGTTTGGCGCGTGTGTCAAATTTGTTACAACATCACGTAACCGCGACTTACATAAATCTTCTTGGCGCAAACTCGTGTTTGAATCTTTTGCAAAGTTTATTCCCAAAAGAAAGAAATTGTATACAAGCATCGTATTTCCCAAAAGTGCAATTTCTTAAAAATTTATCGCTAGTTTGTGATTTCTTAGTCAAAATTTGATATAAGATTAAATTATATTATTTTATATAAAACTATCAATATTATCAAGATCATCAAGATCTTGATAATATCGTAATCGAAATATAAAATAAGATAATAAGATAAAAAATTGCGCAAGAGTGACTGGTGAATTTTATATAAATATTTCTAAAGTTAAAATATACTTGAATTAATTGAGAAAGATAGATTTAATTACGCATTATTTTTGATATTTAAAATTCAATAAAATATTTAAAACAGAACTTATATTAATGCCACACACTATATTAACATAACAGCATTCCTCCTAGCATAGATTTTATCATTTGTGGTTAGAGAAAGTGAAATTCTCTTTCCCGGTATACATTCCGGCATATTATAGTACACTTGCGCAAAACAAATGTCGCTTTTGTGTTATATATACCATCGTATTTCACAAATATTATAACAATTTCACGTTTGACAAAATATTAATCTGAATATGCATTAGGATGTATCGGTGATCGACGCGTTACTACCAGCGCGACTCATAATGTTTATTAATAGTTCCATAAATTCGATTATCCGGCCTCGATTAATTCCACCTATCGCAGTCTTATTTGCGCTCGCAATTCAACAAATACCGATTATGATCGTGCCGTCGAATCGAAATTACTGCCGCAATCAAGAAACATGATTCGCAGAATTTATAACCGAATTATGAAGCGGCCGCTTGGTATTAATTATCAAATTAAACGCGGTGGCACACGAATGTAATACACATATATGTACCTCCGTAAACAATTTAGTGTAATAATTGGCGTATGTGAATATTCCCGCAGACGAGCAATCCGTGTTTGTTTACACGCACATTCATTTTGATGATTATAATTCAGACAAAAAATGGGAATATTAAAAAGGGAAAAAATAAAATTAATTGAAAGAAATGAATTAAAAAATAAACAGCAAAAAGATGCGGAAAAGATTGATTTTGCTCATTTAATGAATATAAAAAAACACTGATTATTGTATAATTACTATAATATAGTGTGTAACATTATAATATAAGTAAGTAAATTATATCTTTTATTAATATAAACTTTAGATAGAAAAGAGAGAGGAATTCTATTATTTATATATATCCTATTATTATATATACAATATTTTAATAATTTATACATTTTTATCATTTATATAATATTGTATTTTTGATTTTTAATTATTTTGTTATTCACTCATTTATTTTTGTATTTTAATATGAAATTATTGTACTAATATGTATGTGTGTGTGCGTGTGTGCGTGTGCATGTGCGTGTAAACTTAACAAAACTGTTTCTTTCTACATTTCACTCGTAGTTTAATTGCTTAAGCTACCGCTATATTTGTATATCTGGTTTCGAAAAAGCGGTGTAGTTGATAATACGACAGCAAGAAACTCTCACTATCACTCACTTACATAACGATTTGTCTTTCTCTTTCACCGCAATGATCATTTCTGACCCAAATTTTTCTATTACCACAGTCATGTGTCCACACCTAACATGATGAGTTTGCTATTCTCACGTCCGATAGTCTCTCACAAAATGCTCTCACAAATAAGATAGATGAAGAATGCAGCTTATGTCGCGAAAGAGTAAATATCGACCTTCTCGATTACTTAACGATTAGAAAAGTGCCTCTATCGTCGAATAGATAGCAATATATTTTCGAATACATTTGGAAATATTTTTTTTACATTAAAAATTACATTAATAATAAATAATAAAAAATTTATAAAATATTTTTTAATATAGCTATTCTCGAATATATTCAAAATGTCTAATGGATTTATATTTACAAACTTGTACAAATTTATACATTATTAGTTCTAAAGTCCTTAGTTTATAAGATGTTTTAATCCTCTTTTTCTCTTAAATCAATAACTTTCTCTCCCCCCCCCTCTCTCTCTCTCTTTCTCTTTCTCTTCTCTGTCTTCCATTCTTGTATATTCTATTCTGTGCGGTAAGCCAATAGATAGGATCATTTAAATTATAGGCAAACAAGATAATTATGATATTAAAGCAAACATGTACAATGTATGTATGTGTATGTATGTGTGTGTGTATGAGACAACGTCATATTTTGCAATGTTATAATTAATAACATAATTACTTCTTAATAATCTGGTAATATATATTAAACAAGCTGTTATCAGTTTCAATAATTTTGTAACTGAGTTTATCCCTCTAACGAAACGTATCAATATCATATTTATCCCAGTTTATCACAATTATTCCAATTAATCGTACACAGCACGCGTGATTATTTCATCAAACACAGTGAATATACTCATAAGGAATCTACAATTAAATGATACGTTTATTCTCTCAGTATATAGGATTTTTATACAAATTTTTTAAATTTTTACATATGATGTTAAGCTAAATGTACAACTGAACCATGATCGTTCAACGTTATTTGTAGCAAAGGCTCATCAGCGATTACACTCTGTTTCTGTCCTCCTTAGAAGGGTGAGCGGCTATCCAGTCAAGAGCACGCTGGATGAGAGGCGGAATTTCCGGAGGGGGTGGCGGGGTCGGTAGATGCGCCCCTTGGAAAGTGGCGCCGTTCTCGTCTGCCACCCAGCCGAGATTAATCTTCTGTCCGTCAGGCGCGGTCCATGACGCCGAGCCATGCACCTCCTCAGCCTCTTTGTCCTTCTGGCCAAGATTCTTTTGTACGCCCCGCTCTTCGAAGGTTATCCCATTAGCGCTCTCCCATTTCGTGAAGAAGCTACCATCCGGGTTGATGTCCTGTTCCTGCTTGATGATGGCTATCGGCTCATTCGCTGCCGATATTATTGCCGCCAGGCTCAGCAGGATAATTACGTGCAGATTCATCCTGAGCGGGATCAGAGATTAGAGACTCGTCTAACGCTTGACTGCCGATCACACATCATATATGTCGTTCATTTATAATCTTATTTAAGACTCCCACTGCTACAATACTCGAGTTATGTCACTTTCCAAACAAGCAGTTTATATAAAAGTATAATCAAAAAATGCAATATTAAAAATGAAGAACTAAAAAATTGCAAATTTGTAATTTATAAAGATTTTGATAACTTGTAGTTTTACTCGCACTTTTATCTAGCAGATATAATTTTCTTTTGTAAAAGCTATAATTAGATATAATATGAGCAAGAAATATAATTTGGGTTTCAAATAATTTGGGAATTTATTAAACTTTCTCGGAAATTATATATATATATATATATATATATATATATATATATATATATGATACATATGACAATTATATGATTACGATAACGTACTTCGTGATTCAATTGGCAGACGACTTTAAGTTCTTACTTCAACTGTGCTTCGTTTTCCAGATATTACCTACAGTACTACTGACGGGCGTTTATCTATTGCATTCCCCTTTTATAGATAGAGGTATGCTGTACTATCGTCGGCGTATTGCTTCAAATGCCACTCGTTGATACCGGTTCGAACTTTATTATAGACTGAAGCGCTACAAAAGGAATGTTTTCTTTTACTTTTATACCACTATTCGGAATACGTATCGGCAATTTTAAATTTCTGCCACTACGCTTTCGACACATACGTGCAGACGCATACAAATACACTATCTCGTTAACATCAATATTTATCGCAACGAGTATATCGATTATTTTTTATAAGATTTACAAGAAAATAAATTACAAGAGCAATATAGCAAAATCTTGTATATGATTAAAGTGTAAAATTCATTTGAAATCTTTTAATCCGCAAACCATTATAAAAGCAAATGAAAAATTCAGCAACATTACATGTTGTTCGTGCACATTTCTATAATACAAAGAGGCAGATGGAGTTCAAGTATATGTTGCAAATACATGTAATGGTTTAACCTTTGAAACGCACTTTGTGTATCCACTCGTTTTTCCTCGGGATTCCTTTCGCGATCAATGTGCATTGCACTCAGGTGATTTTTTATTATTAACGCCGACAGCTGCGACGTATACGATGGGTCGTTGGAACATTTATATTCATTCGAGTCCTTTTGTGGCAATTTTCATGTACGTCCAGCTTTTTGTAGCTTCTCTCATATATAGTCTTTTATTAAACCGTTAATTACTCGATATCATTACTGACATTTTTCAAATATATTTTGTTTTAATGTTGAATTTTCTTGCATATTTGAAATCATTAAGTGTTATCTTTGCAAATATTAAAATTGGTTCTGAAATTTACTCTCTCCCACAATTCTCCGTCATCTTTTAGATACTTAGAAAGAAATGCAAAAATTGCGATTAAAACTAAATTAATTATAAAATTTATGTTTGTGGATTCAAAAAAGATAATTGTGAAAATGGTTTAAACTATACGAAGATTGAGGATATCAAATTAAAAACCTAGATGTATATTAAATACCTATTTAAATATTAAACATATATAATGAAATGAGTTCATTAAAATGATTTAATTATCGATTTAATTAAAATGTCGCGCAGTTTCTTCGTAATGGATGAAATAATTCATTCGATATTAAAGGATATAAAAAGTATTATATTTATAATATTTCACATATATACAGAAAGTCTATTTCTAACAGATGAACTTTTGCGTACAATTTTATAATTTCTGTATCAATTTTATTATGGCATTTAAATCTTTAAATACGCGCCATGTATTCAGTTCAATTGAGACAAAGAACATGTTGGCTTGACAAAAGCGATCGATACAGTTATTTATTAGCGAACGGTATAAGTAAATATCATTACGTGATGTTGTTACATAGAATTGTTATGTTTATTAGACATTTCATTTTAGTGAGTTCTCTAGTCACGTAATGCAGTTTCATTATTGACTATCGAATCTTGTCAGTTGCCGTAAATGCATTTGATACTCGGCGAAATATGCACGCACGCATGCAGAAATCACATAGCATTTCGTAAAAGGATGTGTCATTGAAATAGTAGCCGGAAATTTTCCATGACATTCTGCGTAATATAATAGTATGGCCATGCGAGTCATCAATTTTTTATTTGACTTATTATAAAAACGGATCTGTTGTCAGATCCTAGATTTTTGCTCCCGTTGAATGATGCAACATTCATTCTCCGAGAAGATGAATAAATTAAAAATATAAGGGAAGCAATAAATTGTATAATAACGAAAAACCAAAGATGTATTCGCAGTTTTTAACGTTTTAATGAGGCATGAAAAGAAAACGTTTTTAGTAACATAAACGCGCAACGTTGGCAAAAGTGGTATTCCCGCAAATTATTTAACATTTGCTGTATTTATGTCATGCTTTGCATTTACGATCAATGCACATATAAAGTGAGAACGCTTCTCCTCTGCTTTCTTCTCATTAAAATTATTCGTGTGTATGCAAGTGTGAAAGCTCGATAATCTAAATAACAGAGACGGAAAATGAATGCCAGTTGCAACGCGCGAGAAAAATAAATAATTCTCGTGAAAAATAAAAATCTACATGAAAAATATTCGCCAAAATATTTTAAGAACTACCTGTACTACTAATATTCCTTCTAGCTTCTTATGATCTTTATTTCTACAAAATCTATAACAATATAATAACATCTAATAAAAAATAATAAGTGCAATTTTAATATAAGATAAAATTTATATATACTTTTCATTGCGAATTATTAAATGTAAAAAATAAGTATACCAAAGGAATAAAGTTTGCTTAAGTTGCATTTATTATTCATACAATTTATAGAACATGGCATTGCGTACACGCTATCGTTAATTTCTAACAGAGAGAGAAGATCGGGGGATGGAAAGGATAAAGCTATCGAGATACAACAAGATTCCCAACTTGGGCAAAACGCTTTTATTTATATACAAAAATCACAAGTTAAGTATACGTATATACTATTAACGACCGACGTGCGTAAACGATTCGTACGCGCGTGTCGTTCTCATTTCTTGCGTGCGGAGGCGGTGCGCGTGCATCTCGGCACGGCATCGTTCCTCCCTGGTGAAACTGCTGAACAGTGCGCTTTATTTTCCATCTATACAAAAGTAAGATAAAGAATCATCTCGGGAGTATATTGCTTATTATATACCGGTGTCTCATGCCTTGTCTTCGTGTTACGTTGTATCCTCTAGATTAATATACCACACTATATTTATTTTTATGTTTGCGTCGAAAGCTCGGGGTCGGTTCTATCCATGGCAAGCTGGCTCGGAATCAGGTCACGTTTGAAGTAAAGTTGGGCTGATTAACCTGCAACACAAGGTAAACCGAAAGCGTGAGGATGGTGTCTGAAATATTTAACGGAGACAGGTTACAGAGTCATAGTATGTACGTTAACATAATTACACATAAGTAGAGAGACGCTTTATTGTTCCTTTATATATGTATGAAAATGAAAAGCGAAAGAGTATAGTATATATAAAATTAATTTTTAAAATATTAAAAGTTATACATATATATAAAATATATATAAATGGAAAATGTGCGTATAATAATAAGAAACTTGAAATGTGACGTATCAAGTAATGGAGAAATATATTTAGATCCATTTTAAAGTTATAGGATCGGCGATTTCGGAACGATCTATGGGAAACTGCACTATGGCCATTCGTGATTACGCTTCCGCATCGTAACTTTTGATGCGTTCGTTTCGCTAGAATTCGTTCCGCGCCTCGAACGATGGTGAATCTGAACAGGGCTATTATCGGCGAAATATGGAGCCTTTTCCAGCGCGTATCTCCAGTAACCAGATTCTACTCCGTAAAAGTGATTAAAGTACGCCGAAATTGTTTTCGTTCCTCGTGCACGGTCGCCACAAAGATATTTTCGGTTCACCGACGCGCCCGGATTCGACGGGCCAATTTCAATTTCGAGTTCAGAACTAAAGTGAATTACGACGCCACGAGCGAGTCTCGTAAGCTACTGTCGAGTCGCGATTGAGTAAACTGATTTACTCCGGTTTGTCGGAAACACAGAGGACGAGGCGTACGCTTAACGTACGGGAAAATTTAAATGGCTGCTTGATCAAAACGGGTCAAACGATCGGGATTGTCCGGCGTAAATCAATTTCGCGGCGGGATTTTTATCACCGGTTTATTTTACCCAAAAGTCGCGTGTGTCTTCTATTCTGCGGTAATTTGATTGTCGTTTTTCGTACGCGAGAAATCGCGTGCGGTCAAATTTCAGCCGACGACGAAGAAGAAAAATTGCGTGATTTAATCGTTAACTCTGGACAGAGGCGCTTCTTCCAATTATGAAATTAATTAAATCTCCGGTTGGGAACACAAAGAAACTTCATTTCTACCACGCAGCGCAACGTAGTCACACGAGTGATATCCCTTGGGGTAGAAATACCGTTTCAAACGCCCCGTACCTTTTGAAGTCCCACGTTTGATTATTAATCTTCCCTAATTGTATTCTCAGGCTCGCAATAATTCTCGTATACCTACTTCATGCGATTGTTTCACAACATATATTATTTCGTATTTTCGTCATCAATTTAAAATTCTTTTGTTTTTCTTTTTGCATTATGTAATTTTACTGAAGGCAAATTTTATTGAAAACTCTATTGATTAATTTATTGATAGAATGTTAAATCTTAATTAAATGTTGATTAATTAATAATTCTAATTAAACGTTGAAATATTAAAATGTTTATGTTTACATCCGCGATTCATGCATCATTAAAATGTGGCCGATAATCTTTAATATCTTTATCAATGTGTCGATCTCGCCGCGAAATAATTCGAAAATGATACAAGAAAATTTAAGGAAATTCAAAAGTCTTCATTATTTAATTACTATGACGAAACACCGGTCTCACCTCTTGGTGGTGGTCTCTGACCGCCATCGTCCTCTTCGGGATGAGCGGCGTTCCATTCGAGCGCCCTTTGGATTTCCGGAGGGATGGGCGGCGCCGTCGGGATATGGGAGCCTTGCACTTGGAAACCGTTCTCGTCCGCTACCCACGTGATACTGACCTGTTGGCCATCAGGCGCTACATACGCATCCTGGCCCTGCGAGACGACCGGCGTCTCGTTGTCCACTTGTTTCGGCTGGCCCGTTTCCTGATGACTTATCCCGTTGCTCGTCTCGAAACTAACGATGATGAAAATTAATGTAACAATATCCAATTGCATGTTCGAATCGTGAAATATTATTAATTTCGTGATTATATCCAGGCGACAATCTACCTCTTTAATTTATCATTCATATAATTTTTACATTCTAACTATTAAACTTATGAAACACGGTTTAATCAGAGTTAATCAGGAATTTACGTTTTATTCTTATGCGGGCGAAAAATATACCGGCATAAAAATAATAAATTCGAAAAGCGTCACGCGCTCACAGATGGTTCCTGAACAGTACACGAAGAAGAAAATAGAAACAGTCGAGGAAGAGAAGAGTCCTCGGCACAGTAGCAGCAACTGTTCCCACTCGCGCATAACAATGGAGTTATGCAGAAGGCAGATCATTTGTGGGCGACAATTGGCAG